TTTTTTTAACCACTGCTCAATAAAACTACAAGAATACAAAAACACGTAACCAGAACAGCACAGGCTCATTTCAGCGATATAGACAAGATGGAGATTTCTTGCTTTGGTCGTCCACTTTTTTCAAACGTAGGCACCTGATTAATTTTTTGCACCACGTTGAAACCTTCTGTAACCTAAAAAGTAACATCAAATCAGCCAAATAATGTAAAATCCCCAAATTTAGTCACGATACTAGTTCCTTTAATATCGCGGTTTCCGATTCTCATACACACAGATACCCCAATACTATCCGCAAAAAAATAAAACTTTCGAGAGAAATATGAAACAGTACGCCACTTATTTAAGAAGCGGAGAGACAGCGTGGTTACTAACTGCGCCGAATGTCTTTATAACCGAAATATTAAAACGGCGTTGATCAAACTATGAAACCTGTCCAAAAAGTGTATTTTTGCCGTCAAGCCAATCAGCAGGTACAACAGTGATGAAAAACTGCGATCCATTGGTATTCGGGCCTGCATTTGCCATTGAAACCATATATGGTTTGTCGTGTCGTAACGCTGGATGAAATTCATCTTCGAAATCCTCACCCCAGATCGACTGTCCACCAGTTCCTTTGCCTGTCGGATCGCCGGTCTAAAATTTCTCTCATTGCAAAAGCTTGTGCGGGCTTAGAATTAGACAGAAATACCGCTCAAATTCATAAATTCCAAAACCTCAACACTTTTCGGTCTCAAAGACTGAACTTGTTTTAAAAATGTCACATTTTCCGGCCTGGAAAAAAATGAAACTTTTTCTAATTAAATTACCTGTATCATAAAGCTTTTGATAACCCGATGAAAAGTATGACCGTTGTAGTATCCTCGTCTCGCATGCGTGCAAAAATTCTCCACAGCTTTCGGACATTCATTAGCAAAAAGTTTGATATGAATATCGCCAAACGAAGTATGTATTACGGCATGTTCCGTTATTTTACTTTCAGTTGTGTCGCTCTGGAAAAAAAACCAAAATTATCATCCTACATTGTATCCTAGTGCCAAAAAAAATGCAACTTTTTGAGATTTAGTTGAATCCCAAAAGGTTTTCGATCGCCAAATGAGTGGCTTCCAGCGTAGCCTTGGAGATGCAATCATAGCACGGCGGTTTCAAAAACCCCGTACAGTTCTCAGCAATACCTTCTACTACCGTATTGTCTTAAATAATGGGCTATAGCTGTTTATCACATGGTTCGCCAGCCCTTTCCCATTGCGGCAATTAAAATGCAATGCCTACGATGGAACGATTTAAGGGCACTTACAAAAACTCGGCTCGAATGATGGCTGATGGTGTTTGGAAAGCGCTCTAGGATCTCTACTAACGCCATTCCGCGGTGTCGCTCGCCGGAACAGCTTGCAATTTGCCAGACGCGCTGGGGTTTGGCGGCTGGACTACGTGGATAGGGGCGGAGGTTGGACGCGGTTGGTGTGCTGATTGGTAGGTGCCCAGATACAGCTCAGAGGGTTTGGTTGGGGCTAGGATAGCGGAGAGGAACAAAGGTGTTGCCCAAGAGTTGAGGACGATAGTGACACTGGTTGGGGTGATGGATGCTTCGATTCGGCCCTAGTGGCACGGATTGGGGGAGAAAATGGAGGGGGGGG